CCGGCTGCTGAAGGACCCTGAACATTGCAGTCAGTCAGAGTCTGTATGACGCAAATGTAAGAAGCGTGTTCGAGGCTTCGTTTCCATTCGATGGCACCACTTGCCAACCAGTTGCACCACTAAAATACGATCCTGCCAAGAGAAAAGCGTCCACGCAGGACGAGCACGCACTCTCGGTGTTATATCTCCCTTTAATTCCTTCACTTTTTCGCTTTGCAGGACAACGACGAGAATTATAAACTGCACTTTTACTGACAGTTTACCTTTTAGAGTACGCAGCTCGCTTTCTCGCTTTCACGCCTTCTTGCTTGCTTCAGCTCCTCCCCCATCACTCTGACGGGGGCGGACCGTCTTGTATTTCGACGGTGTAGCACCACGGACGAGAAAGGGATTAAATGAGCAGAGAGCTTAAGGTTAGACCAGACCTCATTAAAAAGTGTCATTCGCCACTTTTGCCACCTTTTTGTCAATTGTGGCACCCAAAAATTTTAAAAAGTGTCATTTGTATTTGAAAACTTATGTGACAGTCTTGAAATCATAAGAAATTGAGATTATTTCACGAGAACGCAGGCAGGGGTGTTTCTCTGTTGTGGCTAACTTAGGTTTTGACTTCATGTTACATTCAAGGGACACCTAGAGCCATCGAAAGCTAATGAGAATTTAGAAGAGTCCATGAACAGGCCTCATGATTATTCACCCTGAGGATACTCAAAGCACACAGAGCTAGTCTTTTGAGAAGAAATGAGTTCAAGGTTCTTGATACTAACGATGAGTATATTAGACTTCAACTGAATAGTGACAACTTCCACAAAAAAAACTCAGTGAATTCTATTACTCCTCAAAACCTCAGCTGAAGATGAGTAACATCATCTGTCTTCAATCCTAGGATTAGAGAGAAACTTGGTTTCATGACCAGAATAATCTTACATTAGAGTTTTAAAAAACTTTCGCTGTGTATACATCAGGTGATCATGCGTTAATTAGATTTCTATCTACAATCGGCTCAAAAACGCAGATACAAGGATTCTTTTCTAATCACTTACTGACAGCAATGCGATCTAATGCTTGCTTGGGATAATAACATTCTTCCGGTGTCAACCGTGCACTTCATCGACTTTACGCAGTGCTTGCGAACTCTTAAAAAATTTAGGCAAATTTAAGAAAAAGCTTAATTGTGTCAAAGGTGACATTTTTTACTACAGTGCCACTTTTATGAAGTCTGGGTTAGAAGCTGGGCAAAGTGCGATGCCCCAGGCGAGAGGAATAGTCCATTCCTAGTGGCAGCTTGTTCAATTCTGACGAGCATGCAGGAGTCAGTAGATGCACATCCTCTTTCTCAGTACTATCTCATGCACATGCTCATGTTTCGAGTCATGTGCTCGAACCAGGATGCGAGGTCCTGTAAATCGTATGCTTCGATGCAAGAGCAACCGCTGTAATCTGACATCCATACGAGGATTTGATGCGGTGAACATTTCCACCGAAGTTTGTTACCACCCACCATCAAAGACACAGCATTTTTCGATGATTGGACCTCTTTCTTTCCCACAACCGGATCAGGGGTTGACCTGGATCGCAGTCTTTTCACAGGCACGACGAAGTTTCCAGCACACTCCAATTCACTTGATTTCACGATCTGGTTTCCACATCCACCAGCGGCTGGCCATCTCTATCGGCCTCGAATCACGTCAGGTTCCAAGCTGGGAGACGGAGATGGCGCCGGTATCACAATTTCGACCGTTGAAAAATGGGCATGAAAATGGTTTGCTGGGTTCGCGGATCACAAAATAAAGCAAACTTTATTTGGTGCTTTTCCTTTACAGGTGTGGGCAAACAGAAAGGGATGCTCTTCAATGAAAAGATCAGAGATCGTTTTCTCTCGCCCACGAGAAAATTCAGAGAGCATCATTTGCTGACATCTATCAGCAATTCAAGCCATAAATTTTGTTTGATTATCATTTTGAAAAATATTTTCTATGTATCTTTAGGTGTTACTTGCATCGTACTTTCCTTCTGTCAAATAATCCTTTTCAATTTGCTCATAATGTTTTGTGTAATTCATTTCTTCACTCATTTTCTTGCGTTTTATTATTTTCTTTCTGTTAAATGAGTTGTCTTTAATGTACTTGTTTGGTAAGGTTTCCAGGCACTACCCTGTAACCATTTGTTAGTCCTGTCATATCCGTTCAGAGGTTAAGGATATGTATAACTAAGGGGTCACGAAAAGGCATCCCATAAATTTCAAGGCGGATACACAACCATGCCGTAATCATTTGCTCTCAATTTCGAAGTTCATGTGTACTTTTCTGTAATTCACACATCGTGTTCAAGCCCTACTAGTTAATGAACGCCATAAATATTAACTCATGTAACTGAATATTCATATTCAGTTTTTTCAGTTCATAACGAAAACGTGATCGTTTCTGCAAAACTTTCAAGGCCCTTACTTTAAAATACCCTATCGTTTTGGATTAGCAGAAACTGTCTACTGCACTCTAGTTCATGTCCTTGAGGTTACACTCAGTCAAAGGACAATTGAACGTACAAATCCTACTACCAATTAGTGAGTTTCACAGAAATAAATCCAAAGTAATCTCTTTTTACAAACTAGATAAAGAAGTTCGAGTGGCCTGCTCAAGTATATACAATGTATGAGAATCGCTGCCAATGATGAGCATTCCTTGTCCTAGTATGATACTGCATTCGAGTAAATGTTATGAACCAGTCGTGCAGTTCTTCGACTATGCATGATTAGATATTCTTGGTGTGATTGATGAAGTAATTATTCGTGTCCTGTACTCACTTGTCGCAAGAAAAACATTTCACAAGTTTGTTGATGGGATTTCTATTTACTGTCTAGAGTTTCGTGCACTGAAAACCAGCAGATGGGGGACACTAGCTCGTGTAACACGACACCCTTTTTGCAGCCCTAATTTTAAGAGTTTCATTCAAGCTTCCAACACAACCCTCTCCTCTGAGCTCCAATCATCATTACGCACTCCTGCGAGATAATCAAGAACTTATATCCTCAGGACTTCACATCCGAGTCATTCTCAATTCCGAATTACTCGAGGCATGATCAATATCTATGCTTTTATCGAGTTCTGACTCAGCTCAACACTGCCCTACAGTAATTTCCAGTGCCCACTTCCGACCACTAGCGAAAGTTGTTCCGTCATCAACATTTTGGCCCACCATTCGCATCCTTGTACAGTCATGACTGATGATCCGGCATGTCACCTTCTTCGCATGGTTCTGGAGAGGCCGAGTTCTAATAATATCTCGCAGTCAGCTGGAAATGGATTGACACATGCTCGCCAATCGACCGAGGCCCATCTGGAGCAGTGAGTGACATCATATGGAATGAGTGGTGGAATTGAGGAAAGTCTAATCAAGGACGAGAGGACGATCACAGACCCTTCACATTTTCAAGGAGCGATCGAAGGGTTGATGGAGGGCGGTGTTCTCTTCGGTGGGTACGGAATCTGTAGTCCTTGGCGGTCTCCCTTCCCGCGTGTCCTTTGATCTCCACCGAGATGGAACGAAAGTGGTACAGCTTTACCAGTGGATAATGTTAATGTTATGTAGTAATACTGTTCAAGTAGACAAGAAGCTCGCAGGGGCTGCTAGCTTGTATCCAAACCTTTGAAACAGTAGAGGGAGTCTGTGATTTGCAAACAAATGATGTAACCAGTGAGTGAGTGGTAAGGTTCAAGCAACCAGTGAGAAACTTTGAAAGGTGGATGCAGTCAAGTGGGACAAGTCATGGGTGACTACAGAAATCAATGAGAAAGATTAACGTAATTGCAGAAGACGTGCAGTCCACCGTCACCCATCAGCCTTATTCGCTGGTGGTGTGATAATCTTCCCAGCTTGGACAGGACGTGAGGAATATTAAGCAGTTGCCTTAATGCATATTGCATGTGAGAATCATCCCCTGCACGACTACTCGAATTTTGTGCAGGTCTTTAAAAGAGAGATTCTAAGTATTGTCGACAGTATCACAAAGAAACAAGAGTTTTTCCGGTCAGAGCTTCCTCTCGCACGGAAGTATCTCACTACTGCAGGAAACTTTATTGCATTTTTCCAACTGCGCAGGTTACCACGCCTTCAAGTACATTTCTTTCGTCTTAGACTAAAAAAGAACATGCAACAAGACACCCGTGCAACAGACCGTGGAACTGTAACGACAGGTTAATTGTTTAGGTTTGAGTCCTTGTGATGAACTGACATTGGCCTATCAGTAATTGTGTGGGTAGTTGTGTGGGTATCACCTTGTGATGCTTATGGAGCCCTGACCAATATTGCGCAAATGTTTTTTTTTTTTAAAGGGGAGATATTCTCATTATTTTGCTATTTGACTTAGGACTCTTGATATTCCATCCAAATTCAGACAACCTTACACGGAGTACTAGTAAACCGCTCACGGCCGGGCAGGAGGTTTGTTGAATAGACTGGTGAAGATGTACCTTCAATTGGTAGAAGTATCTAGAGATTTGACCATAGATAGGTGCACCCACCACGTAAAACAAAGATAACCGCTAGTCTCGGAAGCCCATCAGGTTCACTCAAAACCCTTCGGCAGAAAGGCGATGATACGTTGCACCTCTTACACATGAGTCTCAATCTTCTAACCGACACTCAACAAAGGTAACAGACATGATGTACCTACGTGTCATTGATACATCTCTACCAATGCGCAAAGTGAAGGCTGTTTACGTCTGGAAAGCGTTAGCCCTGGTACAACATGCTGCCGTCACACTCTTATCTCGTTCACTTGCAGAGGAATTCAGCCTGAGTTACGTCACTCGCTCTACAAAGCAGTTTACCGTCTACGTTAGAAACAGAAAACAGCCGCCTAAACAGAAATTCCGCCTTGGAAAATTAAGGAGCGTTGTGTAGACATTCAGAGCATGACCCCTTCCAGAATGAGCTGAAAAAATTGAAGGCATCAATACACGAGCCAAGTACACAATGAGATAAAATTGACGACAGACTTCTCGGGATTGTAAGAACAGAAGACAAAGCGCAGTTAGTGATCCTAATAATGACTGATCCTGTTCTTCAATGGTTTGAAGAACTCAGTAGAACTCCATTAGACATGGCCTTGCGTTGATGAAAACATTCGTAAAAAAAACGGCTAACATTCACTCGTTGGGCGAATACCAAGAGGCAGGCAGGTATAGGAGAGGAAATTCACACCAATAGCTTGTCGACAACTAACAAAAGCTTTACTAAGGATCTCTCGTCCTCGTTCTATCAAATTACAATTGGCAAAATTGGCTACTCTAAACACACATTTCAGGAAGGAGGGCAGGCAATTTCAATGCTACAAAGGCCACATTTAGCCAGATGATATCGAAGCAACATATCAAACACAACATATAACAATAGGACTTCACAGATAATTGCTCGACAAATACGCTGTTAACTGACTATTATATCTACTCCTTGAAGTCGTCCTTGTCGCCAGCGGGAATAGGTTGGTTCCTCCAGTAGACAGCCAACGCACTTCCTCCGAGCTGAAATGAAACACATTACAGAGGGGTTATTGCTTTATCATAACTCTGGCATTGCCTTCGAAGGCTTGTCACGATGGTTTCAATCAAGTGAATTTCATTATTTGTCTGGACTTACCGCCATAGCCACGACACTGACTGCAGAGGGGACTGCCACCAATGGGTTGCTGAAGTGCTTTTGAGCCAACAAGAAACCTAGAGCGGAACTCTGCAGATATCAACAACTGGTTGTTAGTCACGTGGAATTAATATTATGCATGCGACAGCAGGGTCATCTCTTCGATTGGACTCCTACAAGGGAGACCTCAATCAAACTATCAGACATATGAAAGTCGATGGAAACGCAAGAGAAACATTTGCCCCGTCTACATGTCACTTCAGTCCTTCGGTAGATTTCAGCCTCACATGAAGCTAAATAGCTTTGACAAGCAACCGAATCTTAAGTTAAACTTGCCTGCATTCCACACTCGATGGAGATCGTGCGGGATGTGGTCTCTCCGAACTTGCATATTTTAGACATGAAGTAACCAAGAGCGAAAGCAGCGGCGTGAAGGATAGCTACTGGGAGGATCAGTTGTGCTCCTTGAGAGACCAGAACTTCAGACACCTGTCCAATCTGCCATGACATACGAAAGCAAGAAAACGCTGGGGTTTCAGTACTGGACAACACGTGAGCTAAACCGAATCCAGGAACAAAAAGGGTGAGGCCACGGTGACTTACGGGACTGGCACAGAGCAGTGTTGTAAGGACGACTCCAATCAAAGGAGTGATGACAATGATTTTCTCTACGATCTTGGGGAAGAACTCGTGAGCAGCAACTGCACACGTCACAACCACATAGCCTCGCTTGTGAGGTCAACTCACTTTACAAGCAGCATATATGTCACAAGCGCTTGTGATGAGTCAAAGCCAAAGACGAGAACAGGAACCTTGGTATATTGAGCCTACCTCCGATAATAGTAGGAAGAAGAACGACCTGGAAGGTACTGACAGCAAGACCCTGAACATTCGAACACGCACGGTCGTTAAGTCCCGCCTTGCGGAGAAAGTTCGACTGGTATGCATATGTAACAAAATTCTATGAATTGCAAGATCCAACCTCACTGTCCACTGGCTCGGACTGAAAAAAGCTTGCATAATAGAAACTTCAGGAGTTGCTCATGAATCGATGCCCTGAAGTATACTCACCACAGCATCCACAGGGACCAGTTGACCAGCCAACAGCTTGGTGAGGAGAGGTGTCATGATAATTGCACCGATGGTAGAGGCACTGCAGTAATGCAAAGAATTTCTTTGATGTAAGCTCCAACTGATCTTACGATTATGAAACGCAACATGCAGTCGTAGGAGGATGCAAGTTTTGACGACGTAAACTTGCCCTGTATATGTAATCTTCCGTTTGAAAAGTATTCTAGGTAAAAAAACAGAAACTAAGCCCCAACTTCTCAAGCGCAAAGACTGTCATCTCTTACGTTGTCATGAGGACAGATAAAGCGACATTTCCCTTAGAAATGTACGTGGCGACGTTTGAGGCTTGACCTCCTGGGCAGCACGAAACCAGGATGAGACCTGTGGCTAGAGGTGCTGAGAGTTTTAGGCCCTGAAATTCATAAAAGAGTTCAGAAAAATTCATTCCTCAGTCTTCCAACTAACTTCAGAGTGAGTCAAGGCCTATCTATCTCACCTGCCCCATGAAGCATTCTCTGGTCAAGGAAAGACGGTTCAAAAAAGCAAGTAGATGTAAACTAAGCTTGAAATACCAGGATGGAGTTGACATGGTGCGAAGACTCACCAGAGCAATTAAGAAACCAAGAATAGGCTTGATCATGTACTGTGCAAGGAATCCAACTCCAACCTGCAATAACACCAACAGAGGGCAGTTGGTGACCGGTCATAATATTTAGAAGTTACAAGACAACACATCTTTTTTCTTAGAAAATTGGGCCTCAGTTGCCATCCAACTAAGCCTTTCAGTCTAATCGCTGCCAACACATCTACATTTCAGCCGATTTCACCAAGTGCTACCAAGGCCATGTACACCTCTTCTACTTTAAGAATCTCAGGACAACAGCAACATATGACGACAAAAGCTACAACTGCTGCAACTCACCGTCCAGGGGTTCCTGAGGCACCTCCTGAAGTCCTCAATTGTCAGCGTGAGTCCCATGGAAAGCATGAGAAACCCGAGGCATACGGTAAACAGGTCAGTATCCAGCCAAGTGACCTGCAAATGCACGGAAAATAACCGAGATGAAATCAGTACTGGAGTGAGAGTCACAACATCGTCAAAAACAGGCTGTCAATAAATAAGTCGGCAACAACCAGTCAGTGAAACCAAGTCTTGAACTTTTGCTCTCAAGTTAAGTGGAGTGCACAAGGTCCGTGAAACTTACAGCAGAAGGCTTGTAGATACCAATCAGTGTTCCGAGGATGACCTGCATAAGTAACGAAAGAAAAATTTCAGAATGCAGCTACATCTCCTGCAGTAGAGGAAAAACGACTACACAGGGCGATATTATAGCAGACGAGATTTGCAATCTTCGGCAGAAAAACAAAAAAACACAAACAGAGAGACAGAAGTGACATCTGAACAGAACTGGTATTTGGAGGCCCAGATTGTATGAGTAGGTGAAGTGACATTACCCAGATGGGGAACATCGTGGTGAGCAACTCGATGAACTTCTCAAATGCACTAATTTCTTTCGTCGCCGGGGTTTCGCTTCCGGGCAACTCCCCAGCAGTTCCAGCTTCGGCATGGCAGACCAGTTTCCTCCTGCAGATTTTCAAAAGAGAAACAACTTTCAAAAACACTCAAGTGCAGAAATCGCTTTCCGAACAATCCACATAAGGATTGAGTTACACCTGTTTTCTCGAAGACAAACGCGCAGCTGGCTAATTACCGAAAAGCAGTCGAACTCCGAGTGCACACGCAATAATGTTCGTGCATAATCCCATTTCTCTAATCTTTAAACAAAATGAAACTGTTTATCATTTGAAACTAACCTCGGGCTGCTGGGTAACAGAGGGGAAGCCCACAAGGGTCGCGCATCACTCCCACCGAGAGCTGAGCAGACAACGGCCTTCCTCTCGACGCTTCGGCTGCGCAATCCTGTGCACACAATCAAAGACAGGAAGATATTACACCACGTCCTCATCTTTACGAGAAATCACTCGACCGTAAAGAATCCACCGACAAACAATAATGATGGGGCCACTTTTCATAACGTATTTTGACACGCAAAGCAGCCCACAAAAAACGTACTGCAAAAAAACTCCAGCTGCCGACTAAATGAAGAGAAGATCTACAAATGTCCGCGTCTAAGGGTGACATTTAATCCATGGCGTGTGACGAATTGTTTCATTTTCTGCTGATCGTCTCTATCTGGATGCTAAGATGAAAAATGCAAACTTGCGCAAGAGATAGGAGATGAACGCATGCCGAATAAAATGTAGAGTAAATTGATACACACATAAATTCCAAGGTGGGTACGGAGACCATCTGAGAACAGGACGGCTGATAGAACCGCCCGAGGCTTCTCGATGCCAGCCACGCTTTTGGGAGAGTGAAACTGGGTACACGTCTCTCGGTTACGTACGGCAGGGCAGTTCGTACGAACAAAATACAACAATTCCTAATAAAATTTGCGTATCCATTTTTTTCGACGTTTCGAGTGAGACAGGAGTTCGGGCGACTCGAATGGTCTCCAGGATTTTTCCACCCGGAGCACGAAGGAATTCTCTTCCAGCTCAGATTCGACTAACAACGTCGTTCTTTAGAAGCACGAACGAGCCAACAGCCAGACGGACAGGAGACACGACAGGAGCATCGCGTTGGCGTGACTAGAATCCTGAAGGATTCTAGTGAGGCCAATGCGTGGGCATTCACCATCCAGCAAGGAGGAGCTATGCGGCATTCGAACACAACAGTGGACCGGGAGTGACAGTGCACGTCATAACTATTTCACCGCGACAAGAGATACCGCGAGCTCTCTCACTCTCACTCCCACTCCCACTCACTCACTCGCTCACATGAACACTGGAAGTCACAGGGTCAGAAAGCAGCGAAGCACGGGAGCAGTGAGGACAAGCACCTGCGGGCAACAGCGCAGCGTGGGAGACCGCTGCGTGGCGCCGGGACGCTCCGGGCGCAATCTTCTGCTGCAGCGAGAGCCCAAGGGCCGGAGCACACACTCGAGCTGACATGGTAGCCATGCCACCGACTCGTGCCTCGACCGACGAACCCGATCACCAAATTGCTCGCGCCCCGACGACTTCGAGCTGCGGGCAAGTTGCGAACCACACTGCCGAAAGAACGCCACGAGCTGCAGAGAAAAGCAGAGGCCACGGAAAAAGCTCCTCGAAAGTATGCGCCTCTAGCTCGCTCCCTCTCTCACTCTCTCACTCGATCGTACGCTCGCTCGCTCGCGCAGCGGCGTCGAAGCAGGAGCTCCACAACCAAATCTCCGAGGCGCGAGGAGCCTGCGACCAACGAGCGAGTGCGAACGCGAACGCAGATCTGCCACTGGCCGAAAACGCAGGAAGGGGGCACGAGTGACCGCCGCGGTCGAACCTGAAGAGAAAGGTTCGCGAGCGGATGGTCTACGGAGCTCCGATACATGCTCCTGTACAGACTGGACGATCACCGACGACGACGACGACTGTTCCGGTCGACGCAGAGCCTCGCGGACTCCGTCCCGCCCATACCACCACGCTTTCACCTCGGTCATTCACATGGTTCCCATCATCACCACCACCACCACCGTCGTCATCATCATCGTCGTCGTCGTCGTCCCGCGTTCTATACTCTTCGCATACCCAACCGCGGTACTCGGTCGACTGCTCTAGGAGAGCTACTGCATTACTGTAGTAGTGGTCCAGCTCGCACGGTGCAGACGAACCGAGTACAGTAGAAGCCACCGACGATCTGTTCCGGTCGTCGAATCGGCGTCGCGAGCGGCGAACGTCGTTCCGGAGGCTGGAGGCTGGAGGCCACCTTCCTGCCAGCAAATCTCTGCTTAGGCTATTGACCGAATCAGGCATCCAAATTTAGCAGCCGGTCTTAGGGAAGGGTGCGATTAACTGGCTACCCGCTTGATTAGGGTTTTCTGCTCGTTCTGTCAGAGGAGGTCATGGGGACTCCGAGGGACATTCGAGTTGGGGACAAAAGGCTGGACCCTGGGTTCCGTTGGACGGTTGGAGCCATGATCGCATTGCTCCTGCAGGGCGTGCGATGCCAACCGGGACTGCTGACCTGAGTTGGGCACAAACAAACTACAGTACAGTAGTCCAACTTGTCGATGTTTCTGTCCCTGCGACGTTTATCGGAGATCGTCTAGTGGGTGGAGCTTTTATGAGCCTGGACCCTCTGACTCCGCTGTCGAGGGAGACGGACGAACCACCAACTAAATTTGACTGGATTCGAACATTCCGCGCTTCTCGTCGCGTTCTGTGTCCAGGTCGCGACTCGCAAGTGGTGATCGTGGACTCGCGACCGCGACGAGTCAAACGAAGTCAACAGGGTTCTCGAAACTGCGAAGTCGGACCTGGCGAGCGTGGTCGACAGTCGGCGTGCCGTAATGCTGCTTTGCACTCGTGATTTCACAGTACGCGGTTCTTTAATCTGCATGGTAACCTTCATAAAGACAAGTGTGCATGTGTATACACATGGACACTTGTCTTTATAAATCATGAGTACAAAGCTCTGGAATTTTGCAAGACATGATGGAAGAAAAGGACAAGTTATTGTCGTGTGGCCAATGTCCAAATTCGCTAGTTCATTCCAGGTTGATCGTTTTTTTCCGTATGGAGAAAATAAAATATGATTTTTGATTATCAACATACAACAAACTATGATAAAACAAAAAACCACCAGCTCATACAATTAGCTCACGAAACATATGAATTTAAGTGGACTGTTTTAATAGACTTATTTGGAGAGGATGTGAATCTCGATTCTATTCCGTTAAGTGCTACCACCGGATAATCAAGTACTTATACCACTCTCCTATTCGTAAGGGGAATCGAGTGACCGAGCAAAATGTACATCTGCCTAATCTACGACGTACATACGTGTACCCTGAGGAATGCACCTTGACGGGCTTCTGCCATGTATTGGGCGAAAGGGGATCTATATTACATCACAACGTATAGTGATTGCATACAGTTTCTAGTATAGTTTATTATATATGCGATGTTCTAATTGGAAGATGAGGATTGTTAAGGGATAACATTTGACTTCAGCAGCGGTAGGTGGGGCCCACTATCGCTGTTAGACTTCCTACGTGCATTGCGACTACAGTTTATGCTCATCTGTCTAATTATCTTCGATGATGGTGCGTGCCGATGACGTCCACCAGGATTTCCATTCATTCCTATGTAATTGAACCTTTCACGATTTATGTTTTCTTGCAATTACAACGGGAAAATATAAACCCGTGTATAGTGAAGTCGCCTCATTGACGCCCAGGATTATAATAATAAATTTGGAAAACGGAATGAGATCTTTCGATATGTAAGTTTTTTGGATGGATTTTTTATCCAGAAAAAAATTTACCAATTGTAAAATTTGCGATTGCATATAATGGTAAAGAAGACTTTTGGTTCTCGAGCAAGAGGAGTCAATACTCTTGCATGGTAGGTTCAGTTATGCAACATCATTGGACTCTTTCCTGGTATATTGGTCTCCGAGGGGGGAAATTTGCCATAAGTCCTGTGGATCAGAGTAGCACGAGACACGAAGAGCAACGATGTTCTTTCGTTGGTTCAAGTTGGCTTACGGTAGGGAGGCACCATTTTGCATCTTTACAAAGCAGTTCTTGCAAAGTTGGGCATCCACGATACACTTATTGACTATACACCGAACGTTTTATAACATAAAATGTGTGTGAACTTTTTGCTGATATACCAAAAGGCGATTCCATGTGTTGACGTGTTTGAGTTAGTTCCATGGTTTCAATTGGCTTTCATGCATATTAAAATTTAATCTTTTCTCCAATCAATCTCTCGATGGAAGCATTTTAGCTGAATTTACTTTCTCTCAATATTTTGTAAAGGCAACTTCAAGTGAGTTCCTCTGTACTTATTTCCTGGTTTTCGGTCTTTCGAAACGCTATGTCGATCCCATACATCTTGAACAAGTGCATAAATACGAAGTAAAAGTGCTTGCTTGTGTGAAGTTTCCATGTTCAGTATAGTGCATGATCAGGAACCTTGTTCAGTTCGAGGAAGCTCGTAATATTTTGCGGTCTCTGCCGTCATACGTCCCACGAGTGTTCAACAAAAAGCTTCCAGAAAGGAAATAATGATGCATCGAATTCATTCCTGCACTTTTTGTGCATGTTCTAGTGCAGTCCGCGATGATACATTAGAATTATAGGACTGGTACCAAAGTCCACGACTATCTCTGCGTATGGCAAGGATAACATACAATATGTGGGGATTTAAAACGGGGCCTAGCCCTATGATACACATCTGGGGATATCGGAATGGGAGTCTTCCGGATCTATTTTACTACTTCCCTTTTTATACTCATATGCTGATGTGTGGAAGAACTACACATTTCTCCAAATGTGATCAGTTTTCAGCTGGATTAGTGACAATTAATATTTCTCTTAATCTTAAGTGAATTTTTTCTTCCGAATTGAACCAGGTCTGTTATATTTAGCATTAGATCTATGGCCTCTTTGAATTATAAAAACGAGGCGACAAACTGAATAATAGCAAAGTGGTGGGGAATATCCTTTAAAGCTATCAGGCTGAAACCTAGGGGTGGAAAGCAGTTACATTCCGATAACATCTAAATGGAAGAGTACGTCTCACAGCATACATTATATCATAATTTATCTACAGAAGTATCTCACACACCAAAGTAATCGTCAATTAATATTTTTTTAGTTTTATTTATGACATCATCTTATATTTTTATGTAACAGCGGATACACGCCACATACAATTATTTCCAAAATATGACCAGAAAAATTGAAATTAAGTTTTTTCTATTTTGATAAAATGAAACGTACATTTAGGTTTAAAAGTTCTAAAACTACACAAAAAAAAGAAAACAAACAAACAAACGTTGTTTTCATGTAGCTTCAGTAAGATATGAAAAAAAAAACCATGGTCTGCCGTTACAAAGATGTGTAGAGACCTTCATCCGCAAATATTTATATGGGTAAAACTCTTGAAGTCATCAATAAAGGAGATAATTGTGTTTCTGAATGTATGTAATATATTTTGGATATATGATTATATTATCTAACGATCATTTAGTCTTCCTCAATGATCACAATATCAGCTTCAGTACAAATTGGTTGAATGTCATAAGACCATGTGAGATATTTACCCTCGCATCTCATAGGAGAAATCAAGTGTCTTATCATATTGTATACTCAGCACAAACCATTTTTTTGGTAGTAAATTACAGTACTTTTTTATCCAAAATGATTTTACATTAACATTTGAGTATATATTTCTTTGTATCAAACTATCTTTGTACTTCTATCTGCACATTTGGAAATTAAACAAACACATTTTAATTCTTTTGAGTGTATATACATATTTATTCATGCAAATGTTTAATCTGTCCTTTACTTTGTAATCAGAGTAAAACTTCAACAAAAGATTTCATCTAAATTCACAAGGATGAAACTAAACGAAACTTGTAAATGTAGATCACAATATCCTCACATTTAAAGATATGTGATATTGTAATCTTCTAGTAATGGCACGATTGCTTCAATATGATTTTGGTCACTTAAAGAGATTGTATCCAAATTTCACCTACTATGGTGGATTCACAAGCACACACAACTAATTTCATTTTAAAATGCATATAATCCAATACTAAATGTTAGAAGTGATATCATTTCTAAATGTTCAACAATCATATACTACATTTAGAATGGAAATGAAATAAATTATACTTAAAAAATATGAAAACAAGTCATCAAAATGCAGATAGAGTATTGAGACAAAACTCGAATTCATTGCTTCGTACCTTCAAAATAGAATGATTATAATAAATTGTAATCAAGACAAGATTCATAGACATGACGAGTTCAAGTTCCAATACGAAAATAATATTATCTTACAATATCATATGGTTATCTGTCAATGTGTGTACATGTGTTGCCATTGCAATCTACTATGCATAAATAGTAACATTACAATTTTGACCTAATAGACAATCGCCTCGTCATCGTACGGCACGTAGTACCTTTGGGTAACTCGAGTAGCTTTCCATTGTATAAATATGGACAAGCGGGCGAAAGCTTTGGTATTTGAGAGACAAAAACCGGCTAATAATAGAATCAAACCACCAACAAATGCCAGTTTTTCAAATATTCAAGGCCCTTCGATCTTGATCGGACGAAAATCTCTTTCTTCAAGCTTGTTTCTGGCGACATACTCCATTTGTAGAACGGTACAGCTTAAGACGAGGTCGCCTCGCCGCATCTTTAAGTTTGTTGACTCCTTCGTCTCTGTCTACTTCCTCTTATACGACCGTAGAGAAGATCCTTCAACGGCGGTCACGGAGAAATATCGTCCCTCACGTTGGGCATGA